GGGCTAAAATCAACGTGTCAGCAGGGCTGTGTTCCTTTTGGAGGCTCCTGGGCAGAATCTGTTTCCTTGCCTTTTCCAGCTTCTAGAGGTGGCTGGCATTCCTTGGCGACTGGCCCTCCTCCTCCATCGTCAGTCACAGTGCCACATATTTCTGACCTTCCTTCCACCATCACATCTCTCTCTGACTACAGCTGGGGAAGGTTTCCCATTTTTAAGGACTCACGTGGTTAGAACGTGACCACTCAGAAAATCCAGGCTAATCTCCCCATCTCAAAGTCCTAAACCTTAATCACATCTGCAAAGTCTCTTTTGATATGTAAGATAACATATTCACAGGTCCCCAAGAAGAGGACAGGGGTATCTTGGCGAAGGGAGCATTATCTATAGAACACATCTGCATGAAATCTTTGTAGCAAACATGGGAATACAAAAAACATACCAAACCGATAGATCTGGTTATAAATACCATTGGGAGAAAGTGGATAGACAAGATGAATGGATTCTAACCTATTAATCCCTGGGATTATTGATTGTATCAGACACTTCTGTTACATTAAACTTCAAATACTCTATCAAGATGTCACGCCTTACCTTCTATAGACAGGGGAAGACGAAAGGATGGCCAAGATATTCTGTGCCAACAGTAGGCAGAAAAGCAGATGTGACTCTACGAACATCAGACAAAGGAAGCTTCAAGACATAGAGTTTTCTCAGAGGTAAAGAGGGATCTTCCCGCATGATAGAAGTATCGATTCAATCAAGAGGACAGGCCAATCCTAAATATGCATGCATGAAGTAACAGAGTTTCAACTGCGTGAAGCAAAATTGATAAAACCAAGAAAGAAATAGGGAAACCCACAAACATAGGTGTATACTGTAGCATCACTCCTAATTAACAGAACAAGTGGAGAAAAAAATCAGTATGGAATTTGAGAATATGAATAAAGCCGTCAACCAGTCTGACTTAACTGACATTCACAGAACTCTACACCCAAAAATGCTGCACTCATGGACTTTCCAAACGCATATGAGGGCATTTACCAGGATGGACCATACACTGGGCCATAGAACATGCCCCAAAATATTTCAAAGGACTAAAATAATACAGAGTATATTCTCTGACAGTGAAGAAATGAAAATAACTAAGAGCTACTTATAAAAGTTACAAACATTGAGCAATTAGGCACCATATTTCCATAAGAAAAAAGTTACATGAGACATTTAAAGACATTTCAAAGGGATCCGTACTGAACACACAACAGATCTTTTAAGACATGGGATCCAGCAAAGTAGTGCTTAAAGGGAAATTTATAGCTTTCAATGCTTGGATTAGAAAAGAAGAAAAGATTTAAAATCAATGAGATGTCATTCCACGTCACAAAGGAAGAAAAGAAGCAGAAAATTAATGCAAGGTGAACAGAAGGAAGGGAATCCTAAAAATAGCAGAAATGAGAGAAAATCCTGAAACAATGATACACCATCATTGCCAACTCTTACATTGATAGAATCTGTGCTTCCTATTCCTGCAAAGTTTAGCACTGTCAGATCACAGATCTTTGTTTTTGAGAATACACCAGGGAGCATTTCCACTGAACTTGAACCTGTAAGTACGCTTGTGCTCTTTCTGCCAATAGATCGACCAGCAGAGATAAATGTTATGAAACTGGTGGGAGTCATTGCCACTGGCTACCATGAGCAGGTAGGGTTATGGCTACACAATGGAGGAAGGAACGTATCTAGAAACCAGGGGTTCCTTGAAGCATCTCTTGGTGCTTCCATGTCTGATGACAATGGGGAACAGGCAAGCACAGGACACATGGCCCGACCAGGACAAAGCAGACCCCTCAGGGAACAGCTGGGTTGCCCTTCTAGGAAAGAAGGTCAGTCAGAGTGCTGCCTGAAAAGTGAGGAGAATCAAAGTTGGGTGCTGGAGGACAGAGATGGTTGAATATCAAATATTTCCACTGGGTTTGAGCGTGTTCTGCTAACTATCACGTATTGAGTCTTTCCTGAGTTTTTGGCTGGCTCCTGCCCTGAAGGGGCTCCTCGTATTCTCTCATCTCTGACACTCAGCCACTGCTGCAGAGACCATTTCCAAGGGGGTGTTGATTAGTTTTGCACAGAACTTTGCTTCAGCCCACCCTGCATTCCTCCTTCTCTTGCCCTGGGCTTCTCCAATGTGATGGCTTGGGACTGCGGTGGGAATTCCCTTGGTGCTCAAGCATGCATAACCTGAAAAGGGCGTGTGTGGGGGGTATGTTTGTGGGGCTAGCTTTGAACAATGGGAATAGGAGCCTCCCCACACCCAGAAGGCCTTGTGTGGCGGATCGCCCATAGTGGTGGTCGACTTAACAAAAATACATCGTCTTCTTGACTTTCTGTCATTTTCTGCTCCACTCCACCTGCCTTCCATTCCTGCCCCTGGGATCACCTCCAGGGCGAACTGCCTTCCCAAATGCCTTTGTCTTAGCCTCTGCTTGGGACAAACCCATCCTAGGACACCGATCGTTATAACAGAATGAGTTTCCTCTGGCCACCCAGGCCTGCATTCATTCTTAACTTTCTTTAGAAACCATTCAGTGCCTCTGAGAGTTAGTGTGCTTGGATAAGGCAATACCACTTTGGAGAATTTAGGCTGGCAGATTTCCCTAGTGAAGCCTTTCTGCCTTTCTGACTTCATTACTAATGGCCCCATTTTTGCTCCTAGTTCTTTTTCTTCTGGGAGTTTGAAATAACATGCCCAATTTCTTTGAGATAAACAAACAAGGCAATATGTAGCTAATCTTTTCACATTAGCCCTGCTCAGAAGGTGCCTGGTAAATTTCCAGCATTTAGTAAATAACCAGTGCATGAAAGTATTTCTCCCCCACCCTTACCCTTTAGTTACTGTTATTTATTTTCTTTCCTGTTTTACAGAGTCTTTAAACCTTGTTTTCGTCCCTTTAAATGACAAAAGACTATTTTCTCTGGCACAGCCCCAGAGCCCAGCAACAGTTAAAGTTGCTGTTATGTGAAAGAGTCTTATTTGTTTAGAAGTTACTCAAAAGGCCGTGAGAGCAGGCGACCTGGATTATACGAAGTAGCCCCAGGAAACTCGAGAGTATTTTCTTTCCTGTCTTTTTGCCAGGATGCCGGCTTTTCCTTGGCCAGTAGGAATTTGCAACAAGGTCAAGATTCATTCTAGTTGGAATCTCATAGGATATCTGCCACATTTCTTACAAGTGATTGCTTACGCTAACGAAGCAGCGGGAGAAACACTGAGGGGAAAATGACGTATTTAGCTTAGGGTTCTCCACGACAAACGGTTCTTGATAATGTTCTCAGGTCCATTTTGGGAGATCAGACTCTCTAACAAAGAAAAAGCATTAACTAGATAAATATACATCCATCATAATTGAAGAGAGATCCAGACTTAAAACAAAACAAAAAACAAAACAACAGAATAAACTTCCAAAGAATACAGCAACTGCCCCCAACTGAGTCATAAAGAGAAAGGAATTTAGAAGCAGAAAAATGAAAATCAGGAGACTCACGAGTGAATTTGAGGACTGACATACAGACATTTTAGACAAAAGGTAGTTTGCAACATTCAGCGACGAGTGACAGTATTCCTTTGGAAACCACCATGCAAGGCTAGCTATCTAGATTTCTCAAACTGGAAGTCTCACAGGATCCTGTGATACTGACCTTGGCTTGAGGATTGGAGTTCAGAAGAGGTGGGTTGACCTTGCTCCCCTAGTATCATCTTTACTATCAAGATCAGGAAATTCCCTGAGTATCGTAAATAATATCTAAGAACATTTCTAAACAGGGAAGTACCTTTTGGTGTTGACCTCATCTATCTTAATCTCATGAGAATTAAGAAAAACCACCAAAAAGTCAGAAGTATGTAGACTGGGGTTTAAAATGGTTGTGTTATATTTGAAGAGTCCCCTTATTGAATTCTACCTCCAGAATTCACTGTTACCTGGTTGTTTCAGTAAAGGCTCCTGCCTTTCAGATTTTTTTCCTCATGAGACATTCTTCTTCACTTAGTTCTGGGACAATAGCGAGATTCTGCCAGATCATGAGTCAATCCCAAGGGTCCTGTTCCACATACGACCTTCAAGATTGCTTATTTTACTTTTCCAATCTAACATTCATGTAATCACATATTTCACTTCATTTGGATGGGCTTTCTATTGATTTTCACTCTTCAGTATTTCTTTCATTCATTTATATCATTTTAACATGCATGATTCCAACATATGAGAAAAGATAGTTTTCGGACTTCTACCTCAACACATCCAAATCGTACCAAGTCTAATAGAAGGTGACTTCAAAAAGACTGGTTGATTTTGCAGATTCCAGAATTTAAGAGGCAAAAAAAAAAAAAAAGTAAAATTTCCCAGCTTCAATTCCTTCATCAGATTGGAGAGGATGAAAAGTGGTAACTGAGTTTCCATTCATGTCAGCGAGGACCTCTTTAGGAAATATATGTTGTAATGTGAGAGGCTCCATACCATCCTCTTTCTCTTTTCACCAGCATGATAGAGTAAAACTTAAAGTCAAAAATAAGGATGAAATCATTTCTTTAAAAAATACAGCTGGTTAATTAAGTCAAACAGCTGATTAATGGCAAGTTCGGATGAACTATTTTCCAATGCGTAAATAAAATAGGTGGCTATGTTATAGCACTTTCCATTTTTCAGCTAGAAGGCTAGGCACCATATAGAGATGCAAAGCTGGAGCAGAGTGAACTGATGATCACTTTTTGGCAATTCGACAGGCTTCATTCATTCCACTGAAATTCACTAAAAGGATGTCAATATTTTCTGTATCTCAAATTATGTTTCTTCTGCCTACAACTTACTTTCTTGGATTACACAGAATATTTCCTTAGTCTTTAATATTATTAAATATATTCCTCTCTTCTCATCTATCCTTCCATTTTATGGCTTTTTCTCTGTTTTACATTTTCAGAGTTTAGAAAAACAACATGGAAAAGCCACAAAGCTTACCATTTCCACCAAGGATAAGTATAAGAACATTCCCGCAGTAACTGTTAAGATCCAGTTTTGAACACACGGATCAGTTGATACTGAGAGGCCAACGTATAGTCCTATGAAGGCCGTGAGAGCACTTATAAAATTCATAAGGATGGCAATCTTAATAGGAAGTCCAGAGCTTAAGAGCATGGCAAAATCTCCTGAAATTTAAGGGAAAAAGAAAATATAGTCATTGTATAAATGATGATGACTTTGCTAGAGTAATGTGCTATTAGGATGCTTCAAATTTCAGCGACTGGGACCAATTTTACAAGTTGACTGACCTGTTGATAAGACATTTTCTTATATCTCTCTAGGATTCCCATTATACCATTAGGAAGTTACATTTCAAGAGCTGTCTTCCTTTTACTAGTCCTGAATCTAGCATATGCGGAGAGAACTGGGACATATTCTTCAGGTCCTGACACCCTGTGACATTTTCAACCTAGATAAATGCAGAATACAGCACTTGCTGTTCTAGAGTTTTTAAACCTTTTTGCCTGGAAACTTGCCAGGCAAAATCACGTTATGTTGGCTTTTATCCTTTTCTTCTGAGAGAACTCCTGTGGGGAAACAGAGAACTACTCAATATGAGATTTTAAAATCATTGCAGAAGTTGGTTAGGAAAACAAATTTTTCCTTTAGAAAACGTTTTTACTGCCTTGATGATTATAGAAAAAGATTCTCTCCACACCTTTCCTCCTAAAGAAGAATGACCTTTTGCTCTGAGAGTCTCTTTTTGGGAGATAGGGAAGGGCTGAAATTCAATAAAGAGATAGTCTGGCGACTCAGTTTCTTAGTTCTGTGGCATAACTGGTCCCAGGAATAGGTCTTTTTTTTTTTTTTAATATTTTATTTATTTATTTGAGAGAGACAGAGATAGTGAGAAAGAGCTCGAGCAGGAAGGAGGGGGAGAAGCAGACACCCCGTGGAGCAGGGAGCCCCATGCAGGGCTCCATCCCAGGACCCCAGGATCATGACCTGAGCCAAAGGCAGAGGCTTAACCATCTGAGCCACCCAGGCGCCCCCTAGGAATAGGTCTTAAAACATCTTTGCTGGTTTGCCACAGCCTGTCACACTCCTCTGTGGTTTTAGTATAATAGCTAAAGGCAAGGCCACAGTATACGGCACCCAGACCAGGTCCTTGGATAAACTGCTCTAAGAAGGATGGGTGATGGGTTGGTGACAGGATTTCCAGCAGGAGATACTGAACACCCGAGGCCAGGGTGGCCCAAAGGGGCTATGTAGACCTGGCTGTGGGGGGCAACGAGATTGTCCAGAGCTCCCTCTCTAGGGCACGCGTGTGCCTGGAGCCAGTCCTTGCTGTTTCTGGGCTTCTTTTGGAAATGTCTATTTTGTCTTCTCTTGTTTCCTGGGAGGCAGAATGTGAATTACAGGGCTATTAAGATTATCCAGAAAAAAGAGCCTGATGTGCATCTGCTACCAGACGCCTGTCATTTCAATTTTATGCTTGGCCTTAGACATTTTATATAAATCAAGTTGATGAAACCATGGTTTGGCTTTAATTTAAATGTTATTTCATCTCATTGGCCTGTTTGCTGACCTAATGGGGAAAGTTCCCCTCTTAATGTTTTTCCCACATTTAATATGCAGATTTTAAAGTCTTTGCCAAAGATCTTTAAAACGAGGTTTCTCTAAATGACTTTCTTCCATATAGAACTCTCCAGAGTCCAAAACGAGTGACTTCTGGCCCTGGGGAAACATCATAAAGAGTCTAAGTGAATTTTATCCCAAGGTACAGAATTTTTTTTTCTAGTTGTCTTCTTCTTGCCGTTTAAATAGATTATGAATGGAAAGTATTCACCTTTCAATTGTGCGTCGGAAAAAGACGCCTACGGACCATAGCTAGAAATATACTCTGGCTTTCTCAACAAGCGGGAGGCAGCCACACTACTTTGTGACTTACCCATTTCATGTGGAATTTCGTGACACAAGATTGCAAGTGTGGTGGTCGCTCCCGACTCGGATGAAGATGAGAAGGCCGCTCCTATCACGAGGCCGTCTGCAAAATTATGCAGACTGTCCCCAACCAGTATCATTATTGCTAACAAGCTAATGGTTTTGCCTAAAGAACCAAATAAAGGTGTGAGAAGAATTAACAGGGCACCAGACATTTCATGGAACCCTTCACACACAACCAACTTCCCCACCCACCCTTGACATTCTTAAACCGCATCAAATTAAGCAACCCCGCTTTGTTTCAGCTTTTCCAATAAGTCAGGACTGGAGACCCAAATATAGTAATCGACACATTTGGCCGCAGGTCATTGTTTTCGTAATGGATCTGACTAGTAACGAGATAAATTACACGTGGCATTCACTATTCTGGCACCTTGTTCAGCTATCCCAAAAGAAAAAAAAATAAACATAATATTGTTAGAACCTTCCAAAATACCACCAGTGACCTCTGCATGTGCATCTTTTGTAAAGCACTTTAAAATAATTTAAGACCGTCCCCGTAGGATATCATTAAAATGAGGCTATTTTCCAAAACTGTCTCCTCTGGGTCAGACTATCCCTGGCATTAGTCTGCCATTTTCTGCTCACTGAGTTTCCCTTTCTGGTTGGCGCTCATGGCCCTCCCCAAATATCTTGTTCAGTCCCCAGCTGTGACCAGCACAGAACCACGGTCAACTCCGCCGGCCCCCAAATTAGCTTTGGTACAATTAGTTAGTGTCCTTGTCTTTCCGAAAAATAACCTTCAGTACTAGGCCAGCAGGACATTGAACAAAACAAAGAGAAGTTGTTTTCATGGGATTCCATTACATAATATACATTATCTGATTAGTGGAGACTCACTGAAATAATTAGTATCATATTTTCAATCATAATTGGGTCCAAGGTTTTAATGGACAGAATTTGTTTTCGAAAACCTAAAACTGTAATATTAGCATAACCCCCTTATGGAATTGGACAACTAATACATTCAGAAAGTACTCCTGGGATAACACTTATTAAGACAGTAAACCACCTCGAGATGCCATTTGATAGGAATAGCTATTCAAATCAATTTCCACTGTCTAAGACTTCATTAATTACTCAGCCCTTATGCACTGTGTGCCTGGTGTAAGTAGTTGTTGCTGTTAGAACTGAACCCAATATTCTAATAATTATACACTCAGTAAAAATAGAAAAAGGTTACCTCCTGGTTTCTGTTATGTGGTCCAATATTACAGGGGCACTATACTACAATACGGTTTTCTATTTTGTCCGGGGAATACAGTTTGACTCATTTCACATCTGACACCATAAAATACAGAGAAAGACATGTATCATATGACCTCACTGATACGAGGAATTCTTAATCTCAGGAAACAAACTGAGGGTTGCTGGAGTGGTGGGGGGTGGGAGGCATGGGGTGGCTGGGTGATAGACATTGGGGAGGGTATGTGCTATGGTGAGTGCTGTGAATTGTGCAAGACTGTTGAATCACAGATC